TTTTTGCTGTTGATTCTGCATTTATTTACAAGATACCTAAAAGTAACTCTTCAGAGACACAGTGGACTCCCAGTGAGTGTTCAACATCAGAACCTGGTATTAATCTCCAGCAGCAGGAGAACAATACAGTAGGATGCAGTTAGTAAACCTGGTATACAACACCCTCAAATCTCATGAAGCCAGCAAATTAAGCATGTTAAGGTTCAAGTCAACTTTTTACTCTTCAGCTGTATGCTTTCCAGCATCATTAATATCAACAGGGACCTTTAACTTCAAGAAGGATTCTCTTCAACACCGAAGAAATTATTTTTTAAATCTTGTAACAGCAAATGTGCCAGGGTAGTATGACATGATCCACTTTCTATCAATGCATTTGTAGACACTGGCATAATCAATAGCATTTCTCTGGCCACTGTCTTCCCGCAATGCAGCTTGCAAGAAGCACCCCAGTAACTGATGTGGAGACATTGAAGTGTGGCCACAGAAACCAAAGTTTGCTGCCACAAAATGCAGTGAGTTCCACCTGGCAGGAAGGAGAGTTCCAGCTCACTCCAAAGCCGTCACACACCGGGTGACACGGGAGCTGAGGCCACCCCGGGCAGGGACAGAGGAGGCATCAGGACACGGGCACGGCGGGCAGGGCACGAGCAAGGACAGGACCCCGGCAGGATGAGGAGAGGGCATCTGGGGCAGCTCTGGAGCCACAGGGGCCTGGCAGGGGACAGGCACAGAGGGAAGGAGGCAGAGCCCACAGGGCAGCAGCACACAGACAGAGAGCATCCCCAAGGAGGGAAGAGCTGCCAGGAGCAGCAGGGAAAGGGGCAGGACAAGGGAGGGATGGGAGCACTCGGCTTGAGCAGCCTGGCTGAACTGGGAAAGCGGGGAAGATCAAAGGTGAGATTTGTGTTCAAATGCAGGTACTGATGGAGAGAAGGAGCAAAGGGCCTTGGGGAGAGATGCCAGCAGTCCCTGCCGAGCCTGAAGCCCTTGGAACACGAGACATCCCACTGGCTCCAGGCACAGGCCCATGCAGGGCAGGAAAGCACTGCATCCCTGGATCTCCCTGGAGCAGCTGTCCCCTCTCCT